GAAGCATTGGCCTTAAATGAAACATTAGGCCAGATGGACTTAATAGATATATATATACAGAATATTCCATCCAAAAGCAACAGAATACTCATTCTTCTCAAGTGCACATGGAGTATTCTCAAGGATAGACCATATTTGGGACACAAAACAAGTCTCAATAAATTTAAGAAGATGGAAATTATATCAGGCATCTTTTCCAACCACCATAGTATGAAACTAAAACTACAAGAAGAAAGCTGGAAAAATCACAAATATGTGAAGACTAAGCAACATGCTACTAAACAACTGTTGGGTCAATGAAGAAATCCAAAGAGACATCAAAAAAACCTGAAGACAAACAAAAATGAAAATATGACATACCAAAATCTTTTGGATGCAGCAAAAGCAGTTCTAAGAGGGAAATTTGTAGCAATACAGACCTACCTCAAGAAATAAGAAAAATCTCAAATAAACTATCTAACATTACACCTAAAGGACCTAGAAAAAGAAGAACAAACAAAGCCCCAAATCAGTAGAAGGAAGGAAATAATAAAAATCAGAGTGGAAATAAATGAAATAGAGACTAAAAAGACAGTAGAGGGCCAGCCGCAATGGTCTAGTGGTTAAAGTGCGGTGTGCTCTGTTTTGGCAGCCCAGAGTTGGTTCCTGGCCACAGAACCACACCACTCTTCTGTCACTGGCCATGCTATGGCTCACATAAAAAAAAAAAAGAGGGAGATTGGCAACAGATATTAGCTCAGGGTGAATCTTCCTCAGCAAAAACAACAACAACAACAAAAAAGACAATAGAAAGAATCAATGAAACTAAGAGCTGGTTCTTTGAAAAGATAAATCAAATTGACAAGCCTTTAGCTAGACTTACTAAGAAAAAAGAGAGAAGGCTCAAATAAATAAAATCAGAAATGAAAGAGGAGAAGTTACAACTGATACCACAGAAATACAAAGGAGTATAAGAGACTACTATGAACAGTTATACACCAACAAATTGGACAACCTAGAAGAAATAGATAAATTTTTAGAATCATACAACATTCCAAGACTGAATCACGATGAAATAGAAATCTGAATAGACCAATCACTAGTAAAGAAATTGAAACACAAATCAAAAACCTCCCAAAAAACAAAAGTCCAGGACCAGATGGCTCCATTGGTAAATTATACCAAACATTCAAAGAAGATTTAACACCTATTTTTCTCAAACTTTGCTAAAAAACTGAAAACGAGGGGGCACTTAACTCACTTTTCAAGGCCAACATTACCCTGATACCAATAGTAGACAAGGGCAACACAAGAAAAAGAAAATTACAAGCCAATATCTCTGATGAAATAGATGCAAAAATCCTCAACAAAATATTAGCAAATTGAATATAACAATATATTAAAAGGATCATACATCACTATCAAGTGGAATTTATTCCAGGGATGCAAGTATTGTTAATCATCTGCAAATCAATCAACGTGATACACCACATTAACAGAATGAAGAATAAAAATCATGATTATCTCAATAAAGAAAAAGCATTTGACAAGATTCAACATTCATCTATGTTAAAAACTCCCAAAAAAATGGGTGTAGAGGGAATATACTTCAACATAATAAATGTTGGTATATGATATATATATATGATATGTTGATATATATATGATAAACCTACAGCTAACATCATACTCAGTGGTGAGAAACTGAAAGCTATTCCTCTAAGATCAGGAACAAGACAAGGATGCCCACTCTCACCACTCTTGTTCCACATAGTACTGGAAGTCCTAGCCAGAGCAATTAGGCAAGAAAAAGAAATAGGCATCCAAATTGGAGAGAAAGAAGTAAAACTGTCACTATTTGTGGATGATATGAACTTATATGTAGAAAACTCTAAAGACTACCAAAAAACTATGAGAAATAGTGAACAAATATAGTAAAGTTGCAGGGTAGAAAATCAATATACAAAAATCTGTTGTGTTTCTATACACTAACAAAACTAGCAGAAAGAGAAATTAAGAAAACAATCCCATTTACAATGGCAACAAAAAGAATAAAATACCTAGGAATAAATTTAAGCAAGGAGGTGAAAGAACTGTACACTGAAAACTATAAGACATTGTTGAAAGAAATTGAAGAAGACACAAAGAAATGGAAAGATATTCTGTGCATATGGATTGGAAGAATTAACATTGTTCAAATGTCCATATTACCTAAAACAATCTACAGATTCAATGCAATCCCTATCAAAATCCCTATCAAAATTTTTTCACAGAAATAGAACAAAAAAAACCCTAAAATTCGACTGGAACCACAAAAGACCACTAATAGCCAAAGAAATCCTGAGGAAAAAAGAACAAAGCTGGAGGAATCACATTCCCTGAATTCAAATTATACTACAAAGCTATAGTAATCAAAACAGCATGGTATTGGTGGAAAAACAGACACACAGATCAATGGAACAGAACTGAGAACCCAGAAATAAACCCACACATACATGGACAACTAATTTACGACAAAGGAGCCAGGAACATACAATGGAGAAAGGAAAGTCTCTTCAATAAATGGTGTTGGGAAAAACTGGTCATCCACATGCAAAAGAATGAAATTAGACCACTATCTTACACAGAAATTCTCTCAAAATGAATTAAAGATTTGAATGTAAGACCTGAAACCATAAAACTCCTAGAAGAAAACATAAACAGTATGCTCTTTGACATTGTTCTTAGCAGTATCTTTTTGGATAGGTCTCCTCAGGCAAGAGAAACAAAAGCAAAAATAAACAAATGGGACTACAGCAAACTAAAAAGCTTCTGCTTGGCAAAGGAAACCATCAACAAAGTGAAAAGATAACCTACCCAATGGGAGAAGATATTTGCAAATCATATATCTGATAAGGGGTTAATAAGTAAAGTATATAAAGAACTGATACAACTCAACAACAAAAAAGCAAACAACTTGATTAAAAAATGGGCAGATGGGGCCGGCCCGGTGGTGTAGCAGTTAGGTCTGTACGCTCTGCTTCGGTGGCTGGGGTTCGCTGGTTTGGATCCTGGACGCAGACCTGCACACCACTCATCAGGCCATGCTGAGGCGGCGTCCCATATAGAGCAACTAGAAGGATGCACAACTATGGCATACAACTATCTACTGGGGCTTTGGGGAGAAGAAAGCAAAAAAGGAGGAAGATTGGCAACAGATGTTAGCTCAAGGCTAATCTTCCTCAAAAAAAAAAAAAATCTTTCTTAAAAAAAAACATGGGCAGAGGATTGGAATAGACATTTTTCCAAAGAAGACATACAGATGGCCAACAGGCACGTGAACAGATGTTCAACATCACTAATTATTAGGGAAATACAAATCAAACCCACAATGAGATATTACCTCACGCCTGTTAGAATGGCTATCATCAAAAAGATAGGAAATAGCAAGTGTTGGAGAGGAAGTGGAGGAAAGGGAAACCCTCATACCCTGCTGGTTGGAATGCAAATTGGTGCAGCCACTATGGAAAACAGTATGGAGATTCCTCCAAAATTAAGACTAGAACTACCATGATTCAGCTATTCTACTTCTGGGTACTTATCTGAAGAATACAAAAACACTAATGAAAAAAGTATATACACCCCTATGTTCACTGCAGCATTATTTACAGTAAACAAGATATGGAAACAACCTAAGTGTCTATTGACAGATAAATGGATAAAGAAGATGTGGTATATATATACAATGGAATACTACTCAGCCATAACGAAAGACAAAATCGTGCCATTTGAGACAACATGGATGAACCTTGAGGGTACTATGCTAAGTGAAATAAATCAGATGGAGAAAGTCAAATACCATATGATTTCATTTGTAATTGGAGATAAAAACAACAACAACAAACACATAAATATGGAGAACAGATCAGTGTTTACCAGAAGTGAAGGGGGTGGGGGGAGGATGAAATGAGTAAAGGGGGTCAATTGTATGGTGATGGATGGAAACTAGCTTTTGGTGGTGGGCATGCTGTAGTGTATATAGAAATCAAATTATAATGTTGTACACATGAAACTTACATAATGTTATAAACTTAAATAATGTCAGTTAAAGAAGAGAGGGATTTGCTTTTGCTTCTGCCTGGTGCTTGGGTGCACAACTAGCCTAGGATCACAAAGTACATAGGTATTGTGAATTTAGCTTTAGACCCACATAACAGCTAGCCTGTGTTTATGAATTCTCAGTACAGGTACTGAGTTACTACAGGTAACTTTGAAGTTTCAGCTTCACGTGACAGACTCTACTAAATTCTCCATCTTGTCAGGGCCTGGGCCTTTTCTCCTATTTTCTGTGCCCCAAAAGGCCAACAGAATGGCAACTCAGGGTCACCTGGGTTGAGTGTATATCTCCAAGGTGAAGGCTAATTGTGTGCTTGCTTAACTCTTTAGATTCCTGTTTTCACCATGGTTTTGGTTTTGAGATTATGTTACTCTGATGCCAGCTTGGCAATGCATTTAAAAATGTTTCTAAAGAAATATTTTATTTAGAATTTTTGTAGTTTTTAGTGGGAGAGTATCTAGTCTGCTATAATGCTGATAATAGAAGTTGTCCTTTATCTTAGCCTTAAGCTTAATACAGCATTTATTATTCACTCAAGATATCTCCATTATTTCTTATGAACATTGACCTTCTTTTTCCTTTCTTTTACTTGCAGAGGATCTTGAGTTGGGCATCAAGAGGCCTGGGTGTTGTGTCTGACGTTTCTCTCTTAAACCTTGTTTTATTACCTATTAATGGTTAGACAATTGCTAAGATGCCTTCCAGCACTGGCCATGGTTCTGTGACTTTACCCATCTATTTGTGTGCCTAGTCTTTTGATGCATTCTGTTTTCCCTTCTGTCTCTGTAATACTCTAGGTTGGCGGGGAGAACTAGAGAGGGCAGGTACAGCTCAGAGGGAGTCACAGTAGAGGAGAGAGTTCCTGACCTCCGGGGCATGGAGCTCAACACTGTCTAACCTGACTCAAACTTTTGCTTTTACCTAGGTGCCATCTGCCTCTTTCAAGCATCAGCCTGCCTTGGCTGCCATTTGTTGTCCATTTCCCAGAGTATTGAGGAGACTGAAGGGATCCTGCACCTGGTGAATCCGGAGAGTTTGGGAGGATAACTGCACTCAATACAAAAGGACACTTTGCTGAAGTAAGAAACAATTATCTAGTCCAGGATAGTCTGTCATCTACCCTTTGTCAAGCTGTGTGAGTGCACGTGTGTGGGTGTATGGCTCCCCCTTCTCCACCAGTCTCTGCTGCTTCTCAGGAGCTTCTTCAGGGTCAGATCAACCCTCCACTTCTTCATACTTACAGTGATTCTATCTTGCTTGTATTTGAAATTCGATAAAAGTGTTTTGAATTCTTCTGAGCTTCCTGAGTGATTTATTTTTGCAGGTGTTTTCAATAAAAGAAGGAATATTTTCTCTTAATCCATACCTCAAAAAAAAACAGCCTATAGGGCAGGAGGGGAAGTAGGAATATCACAAAATGATCAAGTGAAGCGAGCTTTTGTAAAACAAAAACTGAACAGAATATAACCACAACAGAAGGTGTTTGAGTTAGTGACATTAAAAAGGGATGTCCCAGGCCAGCCCTGTGGCTTAGCGGTTGAGTGCGCGCGCTCCGCTGCTGGCGGCCCGGGTTCGGATCCTGGGCGCGCACCGCTTCTCCGGCCATGCTGAGGCCGCGTCCCACATACAGCAACTAGAAGGATGTGCAGCTATGACATACAACTATCTACTGGGGCTTTGGGGGGAAAAATAAATAAATAAAATCTTAAAAAAAAAAAAAAGGGATGTCCCTAGACAAAAGAGTGACTCAGTACAGGAAACTTTTCTCAAGTATGTGTCGGAGGGAAGGGTTGGAGTGGTTAAAGGTGAAAGCTTCCCTAAGATTGAGCTCCTAGGTCTGAAAGTCTGAGCCTAATGAGTTTATGCCTCTGAGGAAAGTATAGGCAAGTTAGCCAATCAGTATATTGGCATGCCATCCTTTTACCAGAGCCGGAGGCCTCCTGGGTGCACCTCTAAAGTGGCCCCCTTCGCAGCCCTGATGGTGCTTACAGACTGGGGAGCACTCAGCCTCCCAGCTGGGATGAGTGTAGCTGGGAAGTACGAATGCTTTGGGGCAGTGGGGAGGCTAGAACAGTGATCCAAGCCCTCTGTGGGCTTCATATCCACTCTTCCTCTCAATGATACCCAGTAACAATGCCTTCCCACATCTCTATCTAAAGAACATGTATGTGGAAAAAGCTCTTATAACTTAAGCAGTGCAACTTCAGAAACAAGTACGGGGAGCTGTGTATGTCTTTCTGGAGAGGAGATGTGATGGACATGGCTAGAGCCAAGCGGGTTCTGTTGTGACTGTTAAACAGTGTTCATTAAAGGTTGACCTTGTGCAGTGCATCCTGGGGGTACACAGAGGTATCAGAATCAGTTCCTGTTCTCCAGAGGCTCACACCCAAGCAGAGAAACTAAGACAGATACACTTGAAAAACAGCCAATAGGTGTTTTAGTTAGATTGTTTTTAGTTTCTTATTATATTCTCTTCAAAAGATGTCTTGGGAGTTTCTTATGGGAATATGGTGACAGCTTAGTTCCAGTCTTCTCACTTTTCCTCCTAAAAAAAAAAAAAACTATATAGGAACTGTAGTTGTCAGTGAAACTAGGGATAGAGAAAATCTTCAAACTCTAAAATATGTAATTGTGGCCCAAACCACCCTAAACCCGCAGAACCAGTATGGGAAGCCACAACTGGGAGATTAACATGGTGGGCACAGTGGGGTGGGTCAGAGAATATATAGTGGTGGCAAATGCCAAAAGTCATTAGCAAATATTAACCTTCAGATGTCTGAGAAGGACCCACCCTGAGAGGGAATGGCTATGAATAGGATAGAGAAGAAACGTGGTGGGGCATGTGTTTTGGAGAGGCAGAGAAGGCATAGAAAGTGCATGGAAGCCTAAAAAGGGAAAGATTTAAGAAAGCACCACTTGTAAAAGAGAGATCAACTTGGAAGTCAGATGATAGCATCACTTGATAGAATTGACTAGTGGAGAATGGAAGTAAGTATGTGGTAGTACAAGCCTTCTGAACCAAGTTAGGATATAAGAATCCGAGGAATCCTGGCTACATGGGGAACTGTATATTAAAGTATCCCTCAATGGAGCAATGGAAGAAAGAGCCCTCACACTGAGAAACTGGGATTGCTCTGCTTACCTGACTCCCCTTCCACAGTATCCTCCTGCAAGTAGCTGGTCCAGGAAAGCCAAACTCATTCAAGTAGAAGAGTAAAACAGCAATATTGATACAAAGGTATAACAAAAAGCAGAAAGAGAAGCAAAAGTCTGGATATGAAGAAAACTCACCAGAAAAGGGTTGCCACAATGTAGAGGAAAATTATAATCCAACACTCCAAGATAAATTTAAAAACTTAATGAAGCAATTGCATCTAGGAAAAACAATCCCACAAATCAGAATTATAGGAACTTAGAGAAGAAACTTCCTGACCACAGAAGGTGAGGGCCAGAAAACAGGAGGATATAAAATGGAAACTGATAGAATTCAAGAAATAACCAGAAAAAGTCATAAATGAAGACTAAATTACAAGAAGCACCAGAGAGAATAGATACCAGAACAGTAAGAGGTATAAAGGATAAGAATAACAAATGTGAAGAAAATTAAATAAAGAAATGAAAAGCATAGGAGAGAGTGAAAGCTATAAAAGACAGGTAAAGGAGAGCCAACATATGTAAAATTGGAGTCCCTGAGGCAGAAAACAGAAATATAGGAACAGAATAAATATTTAAAACTAAAATTAGAGAGAACTTTACTGAAATAAAGTTCCTTTCTATTGAAAAGGAACTCATCAAAAAAGAATAACATTTACTTGGGAAAATTGATACAAGATGGTCAACCCCTTCTATGAAGGGGAAGTTCTTTGTTTTTCACTGTAATAGACACTTACTTTAGAACAAAGTACTGCCCCATCATGGAAGGCCTGGAGCCTGCTTACTTCCTTTATGCACAAATACTGGCATACAATGCAAAATTACTAGACATGCAAAAATGTGACTGACCAGAGAAAAAAAAACCAATAGAAGCAGTTGCAATGCTGATCCAAATTTAGGGTTAGCAAACACAAACTTTAAAATAACTATTATTAAACTATTGTTAATATGTTAAAGAAATTAGAAGAAAAGAAATGCAAAATTTTTGAAAAATGGAGAAAACTACCAAAATGCCATTTCTCCCTATGAGATCTGCAAAAGTCAAAAGTTTGATGCAGCCCATTCTGTTGACTAAGGTGTGGGAAAACAGGCACTGTTATATGTTGCAGATGGAAGTGTAAAATGATATAACCCCTATTGAGGGGAATCTGGCAATATCTACAAAACTACAGTAGCGTTAATGCTTTAACTCAGCATTCTCAATTTAAGAATTTATCCAACAGATACACCTGCACACATATTCAAAAATGACAGAGGTGCAGGGTTATTAATTGCTGCAGCATTTGTAGTAATAAATGATTAGGATCAAGTCAAATGTCCATCAATAGGGGACATGTTAAATAAATTATGTTATATCCACACAAATTAAAAAAATGAGAAAGATCTCTCCGTACTGATGGAACATTTTCTAGGACATATCACACGATAAAAAGCAAGGTATCTAGCGTACTTCCTTTTGTGTAAGAAAAGGGGAGAAGATAGGGGAAAACATATGAATATTAGTATTTGCAAATAAATAAACACTTGAAGGCTGTAAAATAAACCCAACAAATCTTTAGAGATGAAGGTAGATTAGGGAATGGGGTGGTGGAGTGGGCAGAGGTAGGAACAATAATTCTGTGTGTAACTTTTTATATCCTTTTGACTTGAATTGTGTAAATGTGTTACCTTTTCAAAAATTCATATTAAATAAAAAATTCATATTAAATTCAATTAAAATTAAATTGGGTAATGTAATTCAAATATTCAAAACTGTCCACACCAGCACTTTGAACTCCTATAACCTCCATTTCTATAGTTAATGTTAAAACAACTTTCACAGCTGCCATTTTACTGTGTTTGCTAAAGACAGGCCAGATATAATTCTGCCCATTTTCTGATTAAAGAACCAGAGAGGTGAAATATTTACTCCTGGCCTGGCCCTCTGATGTTCAGCACAGGCTTTTAAGTTTTTAACTTTTAAGTAAACTCGGCTGCCTCTTCTCTGGTTTCCTCTCTGTGGTAATGACAACCTCCCTGCCCTCCTCTGCTCTCTGTTTCTGTGTTTCATCTCATACCCTCATCTCTTGTCTTTTGTCAGATAATTTTCTTCCTCTCTCCCTCTACCCGTCTATCCCTTTCTCCCTCCCTTTCTCCCTTTCCCCCTTCTTTTTTTCTCAGGCCCTCACAATACTCTCGATTCATTCAGTACCATGTTCTTTGGTAGAAAAAAAATGCCTTCATTTGCTAACCTTCTTGTCTTCTTTTTGACAATTCCTTTTACCTAGCAGTCCCTTGGTTATATTCTCGTCTTTCACTGCCAGGAGCATGAGGTCAGAATTTGCTGGTTTCTTTTGCAGTTTTCAGACTACTGTTCTTAATTTTTCTTCAAAAATCTCTTCTTTAAACCATAGGAAAGAAGGGTCAGTGATATACAAAAGCTTTTCCAGATCTGAAAGTGTGGAAACCAACTAAATGAAACTTGAACTAAATTGGAGTCGAGAAGGCCTGTAGGGAGAGCTCTCAAGCCCTATCACACATCATCAATTAGACCAAACAGGAAGAGACAGGTGCGGGCATCTTCCACTGGAAGTACAAGTACTTTACTACTGAAGGAAGATTTCTCTCCCCACCAGGCAACAGCCCAGCCAACAAGAAACACTGCAGCTCAGCCAATGAGAAGTTGTTGCTGCCCTGAACTGTTACTTTCCCCCAATGCATTTTTGTTTGGAACAGCCCCTCCCTACTCTCCATTTTTCTCTATAAAAGCAGCTTCCCTCTTTTGTTTTCTGGATTTGCCTATGGTTTGCCATAGCATGCACATCCCGAATCGCGGTTCTTTTGGCTATTCCTGAATAAATATTTACTGTCATTTTGGGGGGTAAAATAATTGGTAAATTTGCCTTTTAAGTTCACAAAAGCATATTATAAAACTGCAGTAATTAAAACAATTTGGCAGGTCCTGACACATGATACAGATAGATTACAGAATAAAATAGAGTCCAAACATAGAGCCAACTTTAGATAGAAATATAATATTGGATAAAATTGGCCCTTTAAATCAGTAAGGATTATTGAGACTTCAATCAATGGTGTTGAGGAAAACTTGCTGGCCATTAGGAAAAAAACCAAAAAGACTGGATTTCTATTTTCTTTCTTTGACCAGAATGCATTTCAGACAGAACTAAGATTTAAACTTAAAAATAAACCCATAAATGTATTGGAAGGGCATATGGGGGATTTAAAAAACCATCTTGGAGTATGGAAGGCACAAAACACAGAAGACTTTTTAAAAAAAGGAAAGATGAATTGGAATATGTAAAACATATAGTCTTTTGCAATGCACTAAGTGCCATTAAGAAAGACAAATACAAATAGGAAAATATTTCTAAACCTTTGAACAAGAGCTAATTTCCTTAACACCCAGAAAACTCATATATAAATAAAAAAGAGATAAACAACCCAAAAGAAACAGAGGAAAGGATAAAAATAGCCCACTCATAGGAAAAGAAATACAAGTAAAAGTAGCCAATGAAGGTAGGAATAACAGTTGAGTTTACTCATAATGAAGACTTGCAAATAAAAATGGGGGCACTATTTATTTCATTTATCAGATTGGCAAAGATGAAGAAGTTTGATGACAACATCCAGTGTTGATGAGATTGTGGGTAAATGAACATTATCCCCCACTGTTTGTGGGAGTGGAAATTGGTGCAGGCTCTTTGCAGGATAATTTGGCAATAGCTGACAAAATTCCAAATACATATAACTTTTAGACCCAGCAATTCCATGTACAGGAATTCATCCTTTAGATTTATTTGCAGAAAGTGCACAAAGAATTATGCATAACAATGTTCATCCCAGATTTCTGGTAAATCCTAATGCTGGAAACAACCTAAATGTCCACTAGTAAGCTTCATAAATCGTGGGAAATACATGTAGTGGAATTCTGTGCAGCTTTGAATGAGGTAGATCACTATATGTAAATATGGAAAGATATATTGTTTAGTGTATAAAAGCAAAGTGCAGAACAGAATATAGCATGGTTCTACTTTTGGAAAACAAAAAGGATATGCATTTTATTCTTAGTTTGCCTGTAACATTTCTGGAAAAATTCCTGAAACCTGCTTCATGGCGTCATCCTAACCTCTGATTCCTCAGGTCTCCTTGTTGGCTTCCATCCCTTCTTTCTGCTCAGCTTGGACTCCGTGGTCACTCAATACAACCTTCTGCCACCAGGGCCCTCATTCCCTCCCCCCTTCGCATTCTCTCATAATCCTCAGTATTGGATTAATCCAGCTGTTTGTTTTCTGCAGATCTGCCCCCAGATTGCAAAAATAACTGTGTGTATTGATTCTCACTTGTTTTGTTTTGTTTGCAATCTCACTCGGGTGTTGTGTTGCTTGACAATCTTTTCATTCACCCTACAAATTTTTTCTACATCATTCCTCACAACAGACATTTCAATTTTTACTCCATTATTTAAGCTCCAAGCCTCCTTGTCCTCTGTACTCTCAGCAGATAACATCACTGAGATAAGAGGCCAAGAATGAACTGCTTAAACTCCTTTCTAGAATAATTTTAAAATAATCTACTTCAGGGGTGAGCAAACTACAGCCCTCGTGTCAAATCCAGCCCTGGCTGTGAGCTACAAATGGTTTTACATTTTTAAACGATTGTAAAAATGAAGAAGAGTATGTGACAGACTAAGTGTGGGGCAAAGCCTAGGATGGTTACTATCTGGCCCTTCATGGTGAAAGTTTGCTGAGCCCTGACCTACACCATCACCCATCTTTGATTCTTTTCTTCTCAATTCAGAGAAGCCCCTTTCTCCTTGCCAAGGCTGACCTGGAAACCTCTGATCTGACGCAATCTCCTTCTGCCTCTTCTCTGTTCTTCTCCATGGCAAGCCGAAGTATGGTGTTTTTTTTTTTTTTTTTTGGTGAGCAAGAGTCACCCTGAGCTAACATCTGTTACCAATCTTCCTCTTTTTTTTTCGCTTGAGGAAGATTAGCCCTGAGCTAACATCTGTGCCAACCTTCCTTTAGCCTCCCCTCACTACCTGGGGTCAAGGCCTCTCTTATGTGAACTTAGAATACTCGGTGCTTCCCTCCGCCACCCCCGGCCCCTACGGCTCGCATGAAGCACCGCAGGCGTGGAATAAACACGTGTTGACCGACTGGACTCCAAAGCCCCCTGAAGGAGGCGCTGTGTCCGGCAGTATGTCTGGAGGGTTCTTCCCAAGGAGGGAAGGCAGGTGCAAAGGCAAGGAGGCGCAGAGGTGCCTGACGGCCGGACAGCCCGGACGGGAAGCGTTAGCCACAGGGGGCGAGCGACCATCGAGACGCACCGACCTCCGAGAGTCCTAGAGGGGAAACGGAAGGGACCCCTTCCTTACGCGCCTGACAGCCTCCGCAGCCCACTTCCGGTCCGCCGAGGGCGCCGGCCAGCCGGGAGCGGGTGCGGGGCCGCGGGTGAGAGGGCGGTTGGGCCGCACGGGGCGGCGGGGTGGAGGCGGACGGGCCAGGGGGCCGAGCTGTGGTGCTGCTGCGGGCTCGCATGTCCCGGGAGCTGCCTCCCGCCGCACCGAGGCCTCGCGGGTCGGGCGCGGGGGTCCGCGCCGCCTCGGCTTAGGTGGGAGCGAGGCCGATCCCGCCCGGCCGGGGTTGGCTTAACGCGGGGGTGTCCACGAACCCGAGACCTTGAACCAAAGCGGAACGCTCTGAAAAGTGAAAGTAGTCATTTTAGAGCGAGGCGTAGGACACTCCTTTAAGACTAGCTATGGGACGCCTTGTATTTGTCCAGTGCCAGGGATGAAAAATGATTGAGGCCCTTTCTTGCCTTCAGGGAACCTGGTAGTCGGAGACACATTGGTAAACGTTTGCGCTACAGTGCTATAAACGCAGTAGTGGAATGAATAAATGCAGTAGCTGGAAAGTCATGAAAGAGAAATCTCAATTGATGCAGCAGAGAAGATGAATAGACTGAAGGTGTGAAATAGGTTTAGGAAAGGTAGATAAATACACAGACATGCGATAGAATATTAAGCAGAAGTTCAGGCGTGCCTTCTGCCAGCTGCTCCTTCTCTGCTCCATTTAGAGTATCTTCCCCTTGTGAAAGCGGAGCCCCTCAACCCCTGGACTTCCAAGTCGGTCTCCTCAGACTAGGTGCCCGCCCCCCATCATGGAATTAAATAGTACTCCTCCTCCAGTCTAGTACAAGCCTCTTTCTCACGAGTACTTGCACCTACCTTAACCTTTGTATCTTTTTGACTTCCCACGTTTCTCATCTATACCATATGTTTTGGGAGGCCGACCTCGGCCAGCAATGTACCCTCTTATGTCTTCAGTTTCTTCATCTGAAAAGTAGGGAGAGTAGTCCCCACCATACAGAATTGTTGTAAGTGTTAAATGAGAGTATGTTCACATGCTTTCTAAATTGTAAAGCCTCCACAAGTTCGAAGTCTACCCATCAGTTGTAATAAGGTGTCTGTGTTGCTCTGTTGTTTTCTTTAGGTTGAGCACACCGTCACATGCAAGCCACCAGTAATTGGTTTTACCTCCAAAAGATGTCTTGACTTTGCTGCTTTGCCACCACCCTGATCTAAGCTGCTGTCATCTCCTGCTCGGACCACCGTAAGTGCCATCCCTTGACGTGATTTTCAGGATGTATGTTCAGTCTTTTGAAAATGCCTCGTAGAAAGTAATTACCATGTTCTTCAGCAGAATATTCATTGATGGAGAGACAGAACTGGGATGGACTGACCTTTCCTAAGTGTCTCACTTATGCTGTCATCGTTGTCTGTCTGGTCTTCCCAACAGACCCTCAGTCCTCTGGGAGGGAGTGTGAAGATGCTTAAAGAGCGTCCAGGGATGGCGGAAGAGCCTCAGCAGCAGATGGGTGTTCCTGTGGTAAAACTGGAGAAGGAGTTGCCATGGGGCAGGGGAAGGGAGGACCCTAGTCCTGAGACTTTCCGTCTGAGGTTTCGGCAGTTCCGCTACCAGGAGGCAGCTGGTCCCCAGGAAGCCCTCAGGGAACTCCAGGAGCTCTGTCGTCGGTGGCTGAGGCCCGAGCTGCACACCAAGGAGCAGATCCTGGAGCTGCTGGTGCTGGAGCAGTTCCTGACCATCCTGCCCCGCGAGTTCTACGCCTGGATTCGGGAGCATGGCCTGGAGAGTGGCAAAGCCCTGGTGGCCCTGGTGGAGGATTTCACAGAGAGAGCGTTGGAGGCCAAGGCGGTGGGTGAGAAGGGGTTCCCGGGTCTTGTTTTGTTGGTGTGGGAAGGGGAGATTTAGATATTGAAAGGTTTGAGGAAGCAGTGGGAGTAGATGGGGCATAGAATCTGCCTCCTCTGGTCCCAGACTCCCTGAGGTACATTTTGGAGGGCAGTGGAGTTTTTAGCAAGAAAAGCCATTCCCTGGGAAGATGCAGGGCCTGTGGAAGGGCCGTTAGCTTCCTTTTTGGTCATCAGGGCAGAGGCCTGGCTGTATGTCCGTTGTGAGCCTCAGGCCCAAAGAAGGCAGTTGTGATTGATTTCACAGTCCCTCATAGACCCATTCCTCTTTGGGCAGAGATGCATATGGGAATGCAGGGATTCCACTTGGTGAATATCCTTACCAAGAGGAGTTGTCTGTAACTGTGTTGTTTCCATGTCTGGGATGTCAGCTCACATGGCTCATGTAGAGATTCTGTGGTGGTGTTCTGGTGACACCAAGTAAGTGCACCTCAGATGCTTCCTTGGGACTCTGGCCATGTCTCTGTCACTCTTTGGTACAGTCACCTGATTGTAGGCTGGGAAAGAAAAGAGCAGGACTGAATGTTACTGTTTTGCTTGCAAGTAATGGTCTTGCTTTAGTTTATCCTCCTTTTCCCACTGCAGTTACTCTGACTTCCTTTGTAATCCTAAGAGAGTTTTTTTTTTCCTCCCAACTCAGAAGCTTAAAAGTAGACAGGATGGGTCTATTTTAGTGAGTGTCTCAGATTGAGTTGTCCTGATTTTCCTTGCTATTTTTAGAGCAACTTTTTCTCACTAGCTAATTCACTGCAGAGTCTAGGCTTTGTGTTTTTTACTTTCAGCATCTGTTAATGGGGAATTTTTTTTCTGGTGTTGAGCATATTGGGCTAAAGTTCTTTTTTTTTTTTTTTTTTAAATGAAGTTTATTTTATTTTATTTTTTCCCCAAAGCCCCAGTGGATAGTTGTATGTCATAGTTGCACATCCTTCTAGTTGCTGTATGTGGGACGTGGCCTGAGGATGGCCAGAGAAGCGGTGCGTCGGTGCGTGCTCGGGATCTGAACCCCGGGCCGCCAGCAGCAGAGCACGCGCACCCAACCGCTAAGCCACGGGACCGGCCCTGGGCTAAAGTTCTCAACAAAACAATATTTAGGCTTTCTGTGATGTTATTCATGGTGGAATTTGATCAGTAGCGAGGCAGGCAGAGGGCACTCTTGTGAAATGGCATGGACACAGAAAAGCTGCGCAGAGCCTGATAAAGGGAGTTGAGCTTTCTTTTCACCTTCTCGCTGATGTCCTGGGGAAGTGCTGAGCTGGCTCATCCTTCCGCTCTCCTGCAGCTGGAATGATTCTTTTCTTGGCTTTCTTTTTAGGTTTTAATTCAACTCCCTTCATAACAGCTTTACCCAGTCCTTATTCTAATAGGTGTTGGGGACTGTTCTTAGGTTGCATGCCACGTGCAAGGAGAACAAGAGGAGACAGCACTCTGCAGAGGCCCTTGGGAAACAGGTGTCCACCTGGGGCCAGTGGAGGTCAAGCCCGAGTGGGGGATGCCCCATGGGGAAGGAGTTCAAGGCCTCAACCAAGGCACCAAGGAGCAGCTCAGTCAGGATCCTGGAGATGGGACGCGGGCCTTCCAGGAGCAGGGTAAGATTCAAACAGTAAGGAAGTAAGGCACAGAAGATGGTGCTTTGTGCCCTCCCCCTTCCCTTTTCCTTTTCAAACCCAGCAATTGATAAACTAAGTTACCTGCGAGGTATAATTCTGAGTTTTCCTGGCTACTTCCTTGACTTCAGCAGGAAACAGATGAAGTGAAATTGTTTTCTATACCTTGACTCTCTGATTTCTGCAGGGGATATCTGAGATCATACTCTCATATTTCTTCTCTTCTCCTTTCCCTCACATCCCTTCTAGAAACTGCCAGGAAATATGCAGCTGACACGTAGGGATATTTTGTAAGTGGGCAGACACACCATATCCCTATAAGTGATATGTGAGTTTATTATTATTGACTCTCAAAGAGGGTTATTCCCAGAGTGTTACCAGGGAGCGTGAATAGCCCTCAAGGGACAGGGGATACTGAGTGGGGACCATCTTGCCAGCTGAGGGTAGGGTACACCCACAGCCCTGTGTGTCTGGTGTCTCCTTATGGTTCCTGGCGTTCTGTGTGTCAGGCAGTGGACACCTTTGAACGCCCTAACTGCAAGACAGCACTAATCCTTCTCATGCTTTTTTCTTTCCCTGCTCAGCTTTCCCAATTCTTCAGTCTGGTCCTGGCCTTCCCACAGTGAACACCAGAGACCAAGAGATGGCAGCTGGGTTCCTTACAGCTGGATCCCAGGTGAGCCGTGCCTCTGCACTTCCGGGGATCATGACGTTGCTTTGAATGAGGTTCACCTTCCCCAAGATTTCTCTGCACAAAGTTGAATTATTTTACCTTTCTTGTCTGATGGGCATGACAACTTCGTTTTCTCCACTTTACCATCCTCAGTTGTTAATTTGAATTGAGCCTTATGCCAGGCGTAAGGCTCAATTCACTTGTTTCTATTGCTTTTTGACTTTTTTTTTTTGAATGACTCAGTATGACTCTTAATTGTGAGGAGGAAGACGTTATTGACAGAAACCCCATAGGTATGATCTAGGCTGTGGTGGTTGGCCAGGAGATCAGTAACCCTTTGTGGATACTTCTTCTGGGCCCCGTCCTCCCCCAACATCAGCAGGAATGGAGCTGACTCATGGGGGCTCCAGGAGTGCTGAGCAGAGTGGTCTCTCTGGCATTGACTCTGGCTCCACCAGGAGTTTTGGCCTTGTTTGCACTTGTTAGCCTGACACGAATGGGAGTACGCAGAGCACACATGGGGCGCTCTTGCTACCTGCATGGGATGCTGAGCATTACCAGGGAGGTGGAGGTGGGGCATTTCCAACATGGCACCTTTCTGAAGGGGACGATGAGGCTTAAAGTGAAGTGTTCCTTGGAGAAGGAAAGATGTCATTTGGCAGAAGAAAAGAAGCAAGTCAAGTCTGATCTGGCTAAAGCAGTATTGGGCAAGGTCTGATGCCTGTATCATTTGCTATCCTGTTTTCCAAGGACGTGGTTTGGAGGACATGAAGAGTGACAGCAGTGAGTTTTAATTTGGTCAGACCCTCTCCTTCTACCATAATGGTCTTTGTCATGGTGTTGTGAAGGGCAACACATTTATTTTTAACAAGGCCGTGTTCTCAAGACAGAGCTTGCCCAAATGTTTACTTATTTCTGAGGGAAATCAGTTCTAGATGAGGGGTAAATAGCAGCTCCCAAGCTCGCTCAAGCTTGAGGATTGAGTGGCGGTGATTGCAGAGTGGAAATTTGATGCTTGGTTATTAGGGCACAAGCTAAGCGGCTGCAGCAGAGACTCAAAAATACAGTGGCTCAAACAAGTCTGTTACTTTTCTGTCATTAAACCATCGAAGGGTAGGCGCTTCTGCTCCCAAGGCCGTCTAGGGACCCGGTTCCTTCTGTCTTCTTGCTCTTCTTCCCTAGAGTGTTGTCCCCTTTGGTCTCTCCTGCGTTTAGGTTTTGGGATTATTTCTTTATCCATAGCAATCTCCTGTTGTTTCAGGGGTTGGGGCCATTTAAGGATATGGCCCTGGCCTTCCCCGAGGAGGAGTGGAGGCACGTGACCCCAGCCCAGATAGACTGCTTTGGGGAATACGTGGAACCTCAGGACTGCGGGGTCTCACCTCCAGGTAAGACTGTTTCTATCCCACAGGTAAGAAAGTGAGGGGTTTTGAAAGCTAAGATCAGGGTTCTTCCCCTGCCCCAGATTTCAGAGCCTGGTGCTATTGACAAAGGAGGGAGATTTCTTGGCTGATGAGTAAACGGGTTCAAGGGAAGAGCATGGACCAGGGGTGTAAGGAGCTGGCTAGGTGCTTTCCTGTGTCAGGAGAGGAGCAGCCATGGGGGCAAGAAAGCATGAGGTAGTTATTCTGGTTGTAATGAGACAGGTCAGTCATTAGTTCCTTGAACACCTACTCTGTGTACATGATTGAAGGGTATCAAGGGCTTGAGAGCAAGAGAAGCAGCAAAAGATGGATCCTCTGATCTCCTTCATTCAGCAGGTACTTATTGAGTGCTTTCTGTGTATGGGCCCTGTGTTAGTAGCTTTGTGTTGGGGCACAACTAACATACATGGAACCCTCGGAGCATGCAGTGTGTGTGTAGAGGAGGGCACGAGGATGCACAGTAGGGTTTTAGAAACGGGAGAGGTCAGAGCGGGCCTGTGTCACAGAGCAAGCAGAGCCTTGCCTGGGCCTGTCTCAAGTGGTGGCCAGGTTTTACCTGTGGTCAGAGCTGGGAGGACGAGGCCATTACACACGTGAAAGGAGCTCAGAGGAGGAACAACAAGAGAGAAGAGGAGGAGGGCAGAGTGAGCCATGGGAAGCGCAAGGTGAGGGCCCTGTTGGGAGAGCCGGCGGGGCTCTGCAGGGGCTTGGGGACTGACAGAGTGAAGAGCAGTGTGGAAATCTCTGGGTTGAATGGGGAGAACAGTGAGGAGAGGAACCGAAACGTGGCTGGGAGTGGCCTGCTTTTTTGTTCCCTCTACTTCTCTTCCTTTCATAACTTCTTTGTGAGTTGTGTGCTGACCACCCATCTGCACTGACCCCAGCTGGTCTTTTCTCATCTCGGTATTGAGGGCTGAGTGAGAGTATCATCGTACTTCCTTCAGGACGTGAGACAACCCATCTTGGCTCCACCACTTCCTAACTGTGACCCTGGGCATCTCACTTGACTGACTTTTCAGATCTCGGTTTCCTCAGTTGTAAAGTGGGGATATTCATAGAACACTGTCTTATGGCATTGTGTGGATTAAATGAGATAAGAAATCTAAATTTGGCAAACATGGTAGTGTTAGATACTTTTAACAGTTGTATAAATATTATTAAGTGATTTCTTTATCAGGAATTTATTTGTCAGTCAACATGGTATTTATCATGTTGATATTTATCATGTTATTTATCAGTCAAATGATTTATCAGTCAACATTCATTCATTTATTCACCCAAAAATATTTATTTGGCACTTACCATGTGGCCAACACTTTACTAGTCACTATTAGTTAAAAATAAAGGCGCTTGCCTCTACAGTGCTTATAAAGAGCCCGAGTGTGTGTAATAATGGTCATTACAGAGTAGTGTAGGGGGTGCTAGAGGAGGGGGCTTAGGAGACCTGGGTCCGGTACAAGGGTGTCACACCATGACAAAGAGATGCAAGATTTCTGTAATGGCAAAGGATGTGGAGACCCTCAGAGATAACTGCACAGCATAGCAGCTTGTGTAGTGTGCCCCCGCTGGAGGTACCAGCGTCCTAGCACCTTAATCCCCCTCAGGGATGTACCTCTGCCAGTAACGCTACTATGTGGGGGAAGGATTCTTCCCTCCCATTCCCAGAGGGTTTTTACACCCTTCTGGTCATTTCTGACTGTTCTAGAGACTCTGGCTCTATGTTTGTCCTCTTACCCACTCATTGTTGCAAAACAGCCCAAGCATTGCCCTAAGCGTTTATGCTGAGGCTGGGTGAGGTAAAGGTCCGTTCCCAAGCTCACTATCCACTAGCCGTCTCAACCTTCAGGTCTTCCTGAGATTCATTCCCATGTAATTTCAGCTTTTGCGTTGACAGCTGTGTAGGATTGGGCCTGAGAAAATAAATTACATAATATGTAATATCTAGCACATATTCTCATTTCCCCAGGGTCCAGTTAAGTTTCATGCATTGCATTTGGTTTTAATTTTACCATTCATAACACCTCAAAACTGGAAACTATCCAAAGGATTATCAGTAAATTAATAAATAGATTGTAATATATTCTTTCAGTGTAATACTATACACCAATGAAAAAGAGTGGAGTGTAACTATAGCTACACACCATGATAGAGGTGAGTCTCACAAGCATAATATTGAGCAGAAGAAGCCAGAAACAGTGCAGGAATCAATTACATAAAGTTCAAGAACAGGCAACAATACTTTATGGTAATAAAAGTCTGGATAGCATGTTCCCCTGGGGTGGGATATAGTCACTGGAGGGGATGGGAGAGGGATTTCTACGTGGTGGTAATGTTGTTTCTTGAGCTGGGTGTTGTTTACATGGTTGTGTTCATTATGAAAATTCTTTGAACTCTACATTTATGTTTTGTACACTTATACTTTCATAAGAAGTTTATAAAACAGAAGAATACATCTGAGGTGATATCGTGTCGTTCGTATTTTATCAAATCGGGAGACGTGTTGTCCATTTTCTTTTTATCTTTTAACGGTTTTGCCTGAAAAGGACTCCTTCCCCCTTTAAGTACCACTTGTCATTTCCCGCTTTTTTCCTCCCTTGGCTTCTTTGCTCCATTTTCTCCTCTTTTTGTCTCCTCCCCTTCCTCTTGTACTGCTATAAATAATTGTTCTGTTAACTTAGAGTATGAGAGGGATCATAGGAAGGACTTTTAGAAGGGTCAAGTTGGGACATTTCTCTATAAAAACACGGGCATTTCAGTATAATAAATATGCTAACATAGAGGCACTTGGGTACGAGAACGTCAGTGACAGACTGTTTGTTCATCGATCTAGTAGTCATTAAGCATCTTCCCTGAGTCAGTCCTGGGCCAGGCTCTCAGGAGACCCAGATTAATAAAACCTGGTTAGGTGGAGAGAGCAGCCTGAGCAGGGACAGCCAGTGGAGCAAGTGTATTAAGAACGTGGAGAACTGCAAGTGGTTCACCATTGGGGAACAGGTTTGTAATCACTGGGGAAGGCAAAACATCGTGATGGATGTGAAGTAGCATTTACAACAAGGTCACATATGAATAAGTTAAGTGCTAATTGAGTACATATGTGCTGAAGGACCCAGGCTAAGAGAATAATCAGGGCCTGTTTCTTAGAGGAAATCATGGAGTTATATCTCGAAGGAAAAAAAAGTCTGAAGTAGTAGAAAGTGAAACCAGAGGGCATTACAATTTGGCAGACTGTTCTGTAAAAATGTGTAGAGATTGTCTTAGCTCGGGCTGCTATAACAAAATACCATACACTGGGTGGCTTAAACAACAGACGTTTATTTCTCACAGTTCTGGAGGATCGAGTTGCTGGCAGATTCATTTTCTAGTGAGGACCGTCTTCCTGGCTTGCAGCTGACACCTTTTTGCTATGTCCTCACATGGCAGAGAGAGAGAGAGAGATCTCGTGTCTCTTCCTCTTTTTATAAGGGCATTAATTTCATCATGAGGGATCATGCTAACATGACCGCTTTGTGTGGTACAGAGTGAGCTTTGGTTTCCACTCTTCTTGTTACAAGGACACTAATCCCATCATGGGGGCTCCACCTTCATGATCTCACCTAATTAGTTCCCAAAGGCGCCACCTAGTAATAGCATCACACTGGGGCTTAGAGCTTCAACCCATGAATTTGGGAAGGGACACAGTCAGTAACAGAGATGGAACAAAGTAAAGGAATGTCTGGTTTTAGAGTCCAAGAAAGTGAAACGTATTGAGGTTGTTGGTCAAAGGGAAAAAGAAGGAATTGTTAATGGGATACCTTTAGAAGCGAAGTTCTAACATAAATTTACTTTTGTAGCTGCTACAGAATCAGTTTGTGTCTCCTTTGTCCTGTAGGCATTGGGAGCAAGGAAAAGGAGGAAAAAACCCAGCAGGCAGACCTCAAGGGGGCGCTTGCTCGGGTGACGTCAGAGAGGTTTGGGGAAGCCGCTCTCCAGAGCCCTGAGCTTGGAAGAATCTGTGAGCAGGAGCCCGGTAGCTCTGTGGGAAACGTGCCAGGGCCTCCTCCTCCCCAGCATGGCGTCATACCCCTGCCTGATGACCTCAAGACGCACAGCTCCTTCTGGAAGCCTTTTCAGTGCCCCGAGTGTGGAAAAGGCTTCAGTCGGAGCTCAAATCTTGTCAGACACCAGCGCACCCACGAAGAAGAGAAATCCTATGGCTGCGTTGAGTGTGGGAAAGGGTTCACTCTGAGAGAGTACCTCATGAAGCACCAGAGAACCCACCTGGGAAAGAGACCCTATGTGTGCAGCGAGTGCTGGAAGACCTTCAGTCAGAGGCACCACCTCGAGGTCCACCAGAGGAGTCACACGGGGGAGAAGCCCTACAAATGTGGTGAATGCTGGAAAAGCTTCAGCCGGAGACAGCATCTTCAGGTGCATCGGAGAACTCACACTGGGGAAAAGCCCTACACCTGCGAGTGTGGCAAAAGCTTCAGCAGGAACGCCAACCTGGCCGTGCACCGGCGAGCCCACACCGGGGAGAAGCCGTATGGGTGCCAGGTGTGTGGGAAACGGTTCAGTAAAGGGGAGCGGCTGGTCAGACACCAGAGGATCCACACCGGAGAGAAGCCCTACCACTGCCCTGCCTGTGGGAGGAGCTTCAACCAGAGGTCCATCCTTAATCGGCATCAGAAAACTCAGCATCGCCAGGAGGCTCTGCTGCAGTAAGGACGCCCTGCAGAAATGCTCCTTTTTTGCTAATGGAAGGTGTGGAGAAGGTGGGACCTTCCAGGACCCCTAAGTGGAGGGAGACCTCGTTGGAGAATGCATTCATCTTTATTCACTGAAGTGCTTTGGGGGCGCATTGAGGAATGATGGGGTGCAGAAAGGCACTTCGACCCATCTTCTTTCCACTCATTCTCAAACAGGAAAAGGGCAAGGCCTGGTATATTCTGAGTTTCCAGAGAGCACAGCTCCTCACGTCTCTTATCCAAATGGTGCTAACAATTTTTCTTACCGTCTTTTGGGGAAACGATATCCCGAGTTTCAGTTCAGGTTGAGGTTTTCCTCCTCAACCTGGACGTTCATATCTGCCTCCTCACAAGTCTGGGAATCAAGGCAAAGTTTGGTCCCACGTTGGCAGCTTGAACTCTATCTCCCTTCCTCCTCCGACTCTTCCATTTAACAAGTATTTATTGAACACCTACTATACGCCTGGTCTGGGAGTGCACTGGTGAGCAAGACAGACGAGGCCTGGTTTCCCAGAGCTTGTGCTACAGCATTGGACGCACACGAAACCCTTGACAACTGAAAGTCATTCCAGGTCACATCTGTGGTGAGTGCCGTGCGACAGGGTATCTTCGTGCTCGCTCGTTCTGCCCGCCTCCTCGGGCGCTGGATCTTCCCTCCCCGTGGGGCTCGCTCAGGCAGCCTCGTTTGCTTTACTTTATTTGTAGCCCCCTTGTCTCTAGCATTCTTCCCTCATTTGTCAAGTTTTCCTATCCCATTATTCTTTGTACTATAACAGCTGTCCCCACATCTATTAGGAAATTAATATTTTGCTATTGATCACTGAATAAACAGAGTATTTTAAAAAACATTCAGTTCTGTATAAAGATATAATTAAATGAGTCTGAAAGATGAACTGGTATTAATATCCTACGTTTGATGGCACTTTACAGTATATAAAATGCTTTTCTCTGTATTCTCACTTGACTCATTCTGCAGATATTCATTGAGGCCTGATGGTGTGCCAGGAACTCCCCTAGGTGCTTGAGGTACATCAGTGGGTAAAACGAGGACAGCCCCTGACCTCGTGGAGCTTACATTTTAGTGAATGTGTTTGATCTTCAGAACCACCCCAGCTGGAGCCCGGGGGATGCTCCCATGAACCCGCTGGACCTGGGATCTGAGCCTGTGCCTCGGTCTAGGCAGCTTCTTGCCCTGAAATGTGTTTGCCACCTACCTCTTGTTACTGAATGATGTGTGTCCTCAGTGCATCTAGGTCCTTGCCATCCGAGAGGTGCTTGGGGTCCTGAACGTCAGCTGGAGATGATGAGATGGTGGCAGCCTGTTTTGCATGAGTGCCAATTTAGGAAAAATAAAGATGTCTATAGACATTAAAAAAAATACATTTCTTTGAGAAGATGTAGTATTTGTAACTGTTTCAGCTTTCTTATGTTATTTTGCCATCACTCAAGGGTGTTTTAACTGTTTGAAATTCTGGAAACTGCATAACCAGCATGGGCTGCACTGCAGTGTGGTTATGCTATGCCTCTGAATGCCGACTGCTGAGTAAGTTAGGTTTTTGACTGTACTATGAGTTAGTCTTTTGAGAGTGTACTATAATTGCAAGATGTGATTTGTCTCATGGTGCCTCAATGTCATGTTCTTTTACTGGGACTTTTTTTTTTCATTTTCATTTTAAATAAGATAAATGGTAATGATGTTAACACAGTTGCATTACTCAGTCTGCTTTGAAACACATTATTTTATCACCCATTTCTTGGCAGATAGCCATGGTGTTTAATTTTGATTTAGCAAGTGATCTCCTGGCCTCTCAGCTCTCCCCATGAGGCTTCACTAACCAGGGCTGCGCTACTTCTCACCAATGTCGAGGTCCAGATGCAAAATCGGTTCTTTTTTTTTCCCATTTCCCAGACAAGCCAGGCAAGGCTTACAGCCACCTGACAGCCAAACCCAAGGGAAGGCTTTTGCTAAGCCTCTGGCTTCTAATCTGTAGGACACGGGGTCTGACCTGGCCTGAATTTGGCCTTCTCTAAGAGGTCTGTATTCTAAAGCTAGAGTGGGAAGCATGGGGCCACCATGGGCTGAGAGTTGCTCATCAGTGGTCCTTCTGTTTACCTGAATAAATTGTAGATTCTCTTTGGTCATAGGCTTAGCCAAACAGGCCTCTGGGTTTTCAGCCAGTTGGAATCTCTTGAGAGAAGCTTCAGTAGGAGCCGGGTAGAAATCTTTCCCTTTTGGGCTCCCCTGTCTGCTTTGAGACCAAAGCTTACGGATGATGCCTCCAAAAAGCATCAAAAGAGGGTTTTTCCCATGGAATTATAGTAGCCTTATTTTTGATATCTATTCAGATGTCAAATATTTTATTTTCTGTTTTTCTATTTAGAAATTTTTTATAACAGAAAATTTCAAACCATATAAATGAATCCTTGTATATTCATCATTCAACTTTAACCATTATAAACTCATAGCCAATCTTGTTTCGTCTCTACCTCCACCTCTTCCCCATCTTCCTTCCGCTCTGAAGTATATTCAAACAAATCCCAAATGTTGTTATTTATAAGTATTTCAGAGTGTACCTCTGAAGGGTAAGGACTCTTTAAAAAAATAACCACAACACTATTATACCTAAAAAGTAACAATTCCTTCATTCCCAATTAATGTTTTTTTAAAAAAACCACATAATTTATTAAAAGCTTCTTTAAGATCCAAGTAAGATCCATAAATTGTAATTGGTTGCTGTGTTAAGTCTAATAATCTATGGTTCCTATCCTTTTTTCCCCTTGAGTTTCATTCATTGACACAACTGGATTATTTATCCTGTAGAGTTTCTTACATTCTGAATTTTGTTGTTTGCTTACCCATGGCGTTATTTAATATAGTTCTCTCCCATCTGTATTAACTAAAAACATAGGTCTTAGAGGTATGACCAGATTCATATTTCACATTTTGGCAAGAAGACCTTATAGAGGTGGCATGTCTGGTTGTTTCTCATTATATGATGTTAGGAGCCTAGATCCATTTATTTCATTAATTCTATAAATGACTCTTCATTTATTAGCTGGAATGTTTCTGTAATAAATTTTTCTCATTAACTATTAGGTTACTCTTAGATATAGTTCATAGAGGAAAGGAAATGCTTGATTCTTCCTTCTCTTTACCTGTTTTCACAGTGATCTGGTTGCTTTGCTTCCTTTAAAAGTGATCATTTATTTTTTTTAAATCAAAATGCATTCATGGATTTAAACCAGTCCACTGCAATTATTATTCTTATTGATGCTCAGATACTTCCTACTTTTTGCCAGTGGGAGCCTCTTCACCTTGGCTCCTGTTTCCTTTTGACACAGCCCTAATCATCTTTGATAGCTTCTTTGCTTTCTGGGATGACAAGATGTTAACAAGCTCATCTCGTACATTTCCTGCCCCTTTTGAGAGTGAAGGAAAGTGCTATTAATTATGTCAGGACAGTGATGTAAACTGGAACTCCAGGGCAAAGAGGGACATTTGGTCACCTTATATGCAGCCTGCACTGTGTTTGATCTGGTGTCGCAGTTCCCTCACGCAGGGGTGACGTTATGCGCTGTCAGGGCCTGGCTGCGTGTGCCATGCTGCTGTGATGAGGAAGGGTGCCGCTCCCAGGGGTATGATCTTTGTAAGAGAAACTCCTTTTTATCCCCTCGGTGATCACAGAACTAGGTAACTTTTTGCCCAAAGTCTGTCCTGGGGAGTTACTGCCTTAAAACATTGCTTCTTAAAATGTATGTTGTCTGCAGGCTGATTAACTATGCTTAAATACTTTAAATACCTGTTTTATCCTAGCCTAGGGGCAAGTAGAAGAACCTTTGTTTCTTAAAAAAATAAGCCGGTTTCAAGTCCCATCCCTCTCCACCCTGCAACGCAAGTTGTCTTGACCCACTTCTGAGACAGGAAAGTAACTGGCAGAACACGTTCCTCTAGAGTCTACTTGCTCTTGTAAACTCTGCCAGAGTTTTTCAACTTCAGCGCTATTGACATTTGTGCCAGATGATTCTTTGTTTTGGAGGCTGTCCTGGCTGTTTAGTGCATTATGGGAGCTTTAGCAGCATCCCTGGCCTCAGCCTACTAGATGCCAGTAGCATCTCCAGATTGTGACAACTAAAGATGTTTCCAGACGTTGCCAAATGTCCCCTGGGGGGCAAAATTGACCCCAGCTGAGAACCACTTGCGTTTAGCATTCAGGAAACAGCTAAAGCGAGTTAGATGGTTTAGCTATTGAAAGAAAGGACTGGAATTCCCCCTAACCTTAAAGCCCCAGCCTCATTTCTAGAAAACAAAGGAATTTTACTAGAGATCACTTGGGTTGAATGTAGTATTGCCAAGCAGAGCCAACAGCTGTTGAAGTAGAATCTCAGGATAGGGTCCTGCAAATCTAGAACAAGCAACCCAGGTGGTTCCTATGCAGGCAGCCTGGCTCTTTGCCTTGGCTTCCTTTCAGGCAGGCACCTGCCAGGAAGCCTCTGCATCACAGTGAGCTTTTGCTTGGGCCTAGATTCACCTTTCTCAGTAAATGTATGTGCCTAGTGGGGGCCACTAAGCTCAGTGCAGCCTGTTTCAACCTTTTTTTCTCCTCTACAATATGGTCTTCAAGGCACACAGTAGACAGTAAATATTTGAATAAATGAAAGGCCTCAATTTCTACCTTTTTTAGTAGCTAGAAGGCTCTCATGAGGGTGCCTTAGGAGGAAAGAACACACAGCAAGTTGCCCCTATGGCTCTCCTCATCTGGCAGTCACCTCTAGCTGTTGTGCCGCCAATTGCAGCTACATGGAATTCACTTAGAAATTCTACAAGCCAAAGAAATTCACTTGGGCTTCCTAAAATTTTGTATTCTTTTCTTGCCTTTTTCTTTCTTAGTTATGTCAGTGAAGGACATACCTCTAGAGAGTTGTCCAACCCATCTCCAGGATTGACACGTTTCTATAAAAAATTTCAGTAAAACTTTGTTACCACATGGGGATGGTAGGCAATATTCTTCCTTGTGTTTGCCGCTGGGGGTTTAAAGTGCTGGGAGAGTGAGGATGGAAAGGGTTGGGTAATGCAGGTGTTGTGCCTTGGAAAGCAGGGGGACTTAGGAGAAGCAATTTGGTTTTCTGGAAGAGCAAATAGGTTCCAGTAAAAGGGCTGCCATCGCTGTCACTTGCACTAGCCACAGCTCCATCATCTAAGTGGTGAGAGACCAGGAAATGCAGCAAACCCAAGAGCCTGCTTCATATGTTTTCCCTTCCTAGTTAAAAAACACAGTCTCTAGAGCAGGTGGTAGATTAACTTTTAAATAGAGACT